GATGTAAAACTACATTAAAAAAGGTTTAAAACATCAAATGGTGGGGAAAAGGAGACAAAGTGTGACCCATTTGGATTTCTATAGCTTGTCCATCTGAAAACACTTATTTCATATATTTCTTAGGATAGTTATTTTTTGAGCAGGATGTTTAATCTTATACATTCTTGCAATGTATAAGCAATGTATATTATGCCTTTATTTACATTTACTCATTGAAATATTTAGATCTGAATTTTGTATTTTTGTCTTTGTTGCAGCGACTTTTGAACTTAGAAGCAGTTGAGAGTGCTTGCAACTGTTTGACTCACTGCATAGGCTATATGCAAAAGTATGCGCTCAAGGCAGTAGTATAGTTTGACCTAACATCAGCCTGAGGTTTAATCACAAGCTCGATCACTGATACATTTAGCTGTGAATGCGAATTTATGCGGACAGCCCTTCTAATCAATGAGTATGACTGCCTCAGCAGCAGTCATTGCTAACAGGTGCATAATAAAAGCATAAAAGATGTGATAATATAACTATGTACTAGAATGGGAACTAAAAAAACATATTTAAATGTGTCACAGTCATATAAAGATATATCATTATAAGGTTGCCCTAGTCAACTCTAATTTAAATGAAATGAAAATGTTTAGGAGTAACAGCTGCTCAGCAGAAAGGCAGTGGACATACGCTTACGGGAAGTAGTGCATATAAATCCGTTCGTCTTCACTTTTTATGGAGAGAACAATCAGGGCAAGAATTGATTGTCAGCAGCTTCATACTTTCCATGTCCCAGCAGCAGCACACGATCTTAAAGTCATCCTGCACAGTGTCAAGCATCACCTAGAGTCATATAAGGCACATTGCAATTAGACCAGGGCAATGGAAATGTGTGATGTGTCTGACAAACATAGATGGACACATCTAGCTTAGAGGTTACTGGTGATAAAGGAAGAGCAATGGCCTGGAGCTGATTATTATCATGTAGGCTGAGCCTCTTTGTTCCAACGGTCTGGGATGGATCCTCTTCTCTTTCTTGTCTCTGTACACAAGTCCCAGTCTATTAAGTACTAATTTCCTCAGTTTTGGGGAGAAGACGCTGTGCACAGAACTGTGAGCTCAACTCCATCCAACACCTTGGAACAGAAACAGCTTCTGCTATTACCCACACTGCATTCACACATTGGGACTTGTATTTATTTGGCTCAAGTTGAATGGCACAGTTGGACTGTCCAGCAGCTGAACTAATAAATGCAATCAATAGTTCATTCTAGCAATTGTGTTTCTATAGTCCACCCACAGGGCTGCAGGGTGGATGCCAGCAGAGCAGACGGGCAGACAGTTTGTGGCTACCAGCACTACACTGAGAGGAGAGGGCGGTGTCTGCCGGACTTCTTCCTGATCTGAATGGAGAACCAGTTGCCGAGAAGCTAAGCTCAGTGGAGCACACTGAGGGAATGAATGGCTTCTTGAGCAAACCACAGTTGCATCCTTCAGTGGCACACAGTTTTATTAAAGTGTCCACTGAAAATGATTGCCCTACTTGTTATTTGTAACTGTGTAACAGCATAGCATATATACATATATATATATATATGTACTGTATATACAATCTGTTAAAGGGAAATCATCTTTATATTAAGCAACATTTCATGTCTTGTTCTACTATTTAGCTGAGGCCAAGGTTTTCATTCTCTAATGAAGAACAACTTCTTCTGGGGGCCAAATGCAAAATTATGCTTCCACACACTATGTAAGACTGTGACACCATGGGCTCAGTTTTCCTTCCAGCTCAATTCTTATGAGCTTCGAACACAGTTTTTATGCAATTTCCCTGCGCATGTCTTTTTTTTTTTTTTTGCACATTGGTGTCTTAGTATTTTCCTGCCATGAGGTGGGAGAGGTGCAGCTGAGGCATTGAGTATGCGCATTAAGCAGCACAGCACAATTTTGGTTCTCATTTTTCCAGAAATAGTGATAATGATAAGTGACAACTGATAAGTGCCAAAGCAGGGAAGCATGAGCTCAGGTACCCAAATATATTTTAATGGCCACACCAACTTGAAATAAACCCTTAAATCCACAGCTGATGTGCAGGAATTCTCTGTGAATAATTTACTGTGAAATGATCTCACTTATGAAATGTGTGATAATTTATAAAGATTATTTTTTAACAAGATAAATAAACTAGTCCTCAGTATGTGGCTATAGATATGAATATGGTCAAACAGTGTTGTGTGCATCAGAACGCATCATCTGTCAATAAAGAATGCAGCCAGAGGTGATCTGCACTCGGTGTTTGGGAATCACATTTCAGACGGACATTAATTACACATACGTGCACATACAGTAAAAACACAAGAAAGCAGCTCAGCTAAATAACAAATTCCCTGCGGACGCCATGATTAATCCTGTTACACAGCAGGTCAAGTCAGTCCGACTGCAGCTGCTGTCAATGTTAAGTTACATTTTCTTCAAATGAACAAGTTTGACACACACGTACCTTCGTTACTACTGCGGGGGTCACCTTTTTGTCTGTTTTTGCATTTTATGATGGTTTGTTCCTAATAAAGGCAGCTGTAGGTAGAGATAAAGAGGGCGACATCCATTGGCTGTGATTTCAGTTTCATGATAAATGCAGTGTTTACAATATAATTTTAAAATTCAGTGAAACATATAAAAACACGAGAGACCCCTGTGGATTTCGCACACTGGATGCAACTGTGAGCAAATTACACTATATATTATTTACAGTATATTTATGTGCAGAACTATTTCCTTGTCCTGACATCAGTGACATCAGCCAATCAGGTTTCTGTCCTGCTCTTTAAAGGGGATGAGAGGAGCTGGTTTGACTGGACAGAACTAAAGCCAGACTCCAGCTGCTCACCATGTATTCCTCCCTATAATAATTGTGTATTGAGGGTTTAATACTTTGTTGCCTTTATGTAACTTTTTATTTTAAGACTAAGTGTTCTTTCGGGCTTTTGACTCTTTACCTGACTCCAAAGGAGAGCTGCACAAGAATTTCTATATGCCTAGACTGTCTGTTTATGCATAAATGGCAAATAAAAATCTTGACTTGACTTGACTTGACTAATGTCTTCTACCTCTTTTCCACAATACACCCAGTCACGCCTAGCTGAACACAAAAGTGTGCTGTGCCTGTGGTCGCCAAAATTGCAAAACATTGTTGAACATGTCAATATGCACCTTGTGCCTGGAGTTTACTGCTGTGCCCTGTTGCAGGAAAATAGAGCCTCTTGTGTGCTTTCCTCCATTTTACTAGACATCCTCCATTAGTGACCACAGTGGATCAATGTCAGCAGCAGCATTCACTTAATGAATGGATTCCCCACACTTTCTAACACATCACGGTAGCCGCTCTGGGTCTGAACACACACTGACCATAAAGTTATCTTTTCTGGAGTGATAACAATCAAAATAAGCACAACGAATGCACTACACATTTCTACATTCTTGTTCACGAACATTTACCAAGGTAATTACTATCATCACAGATCTACTACTCATTTCAGTGGCAAAGTTTAAAATGAATTGGACTACATGCATACATGTTGAATTTCTACTATAAAGATGCAGCTGTATGCATGCAGAGACATGGAACACAGGACAGCCAGCACCCAGGCATTTTAAAGCTGATGGGTAACATATATGTTGAAAAAAAAGTGTCTGTGTATTTGTGATGCCAAGACATGCTGTTATGTTCCATTTTTTTCTGAATAATGTAATCTTAACCAAAGTGGGAGACATTTACTTGAAATAACCTAATCAAGCTGTATCAGTTCTTTTTCCTATTTAGAAATGCATCAGAAAACATACTTCAGAGTTAAAAGATTTTGTTTGGTGTACTGGTGTGACTGGACATGGGATTGTAGCCTGGCCTACACATCCATCCAAGCAGCTACAAGTTAATATGGGACTGAAATTTCACAAAAAGGCTCGTATGGATCAACATCCTATTTGTACCATACTCCTGTTCTTGACTGTTTCTTTCATGTATGTGACAAATTACAAAAAAGATGAAGTGCAGCCCCTTTTTCAAGACATGCTAAAAGGAACATCTGACCTCAAGCTAGTATCAACATGCAACCTGCCACTGGATAATTTTCAACTGTAGTGCTTAGTTCTCAAGATTATTGAGAGACTGCCAAGGGTATAAAAGAACAATTCCAGTATTAATGTAAAGTTAGTTCTGCTTTACCAACTCTAGCATGCAGTTTAATGTGACTATAGATCTTTATGAATGTTTTAAGTTCATAAATCTAGACCCCAGAGATCCATTAAATCCAAAATCATATCAAATTTGAAGGTTGACAATATGCTATGCCGTTGTGCCTGTGCATTTTTCTGTATTGACTTGTAATGACAGACACTGCCACAAAGAGAATTAGCTAGTGGTTTTTATTTTAGAGGGGAAAGAAATAGAATGTGGACATGTTATAATGCATTAATTGGGTAATTTTTAAAAGCTCTTAATTTGAAACAGTTATAAATGGTTTGGAAAAGTTGATGTGACGGTATCACTGTTTGTCATGCCTGTGATGTATATAGAAACACTGAAGGAATGGAAACTCTGAAGAATGAGCAAACACTGGAATAGTTAATATATTGTCACCTGGAACAGGTTGCTAACGCATCACTGAGGGAATGATCAGTTTCAGGGACTGGCTTCACTCCCAGTCTGTATCCGAGAATCTGTCCAAGTATCTGTTGTGGTTTGAAACTGATTTCTAAATAGATACTGTATTTATCAAATGGAAGATGGACTACTCCTGCCCTAGGTGTGTTTAATAACTACATGATGTATTTGCATTGGATTTGTGGGCATTAGCCCACTACTACAGAATGAACATGTGAAACACGGGACTGACTTATTGACAAAATGGAACGGATGATTAGAAAATGCCATAAATAAATCCACAGGTGAGACCTGTGTGGCACAGTATGGTACGTTATGTAGGTAGGTACAGTGGCTTCACGGTCCTACGTACATGGTCTGCAGGAGGCTCTGTGGAACCGTGCAGCCAGCCTTGGGTGGGAAGTTCCAAAACAATCCAGGTCCCATCTAGCAGCAGGTATAAAAATACAAGAGACAAAATCTACTGTACTGGTGTTGGTGCATTAGAGGTGCAAAGGCAAGAAAAATATTCACAGGATTATAAGAAAAGGCTTCATGCAATAAAACTACACAGAGCAAGCAGAAGGTATTAATAGGCAGGAGACAGATCATAAGATCCTGTGGAAGTGGCCATAAAAGCAAGGGAGGAAAATGTGACGGTTAACATTTTATAGTAAACATTTGCTCTGTTCATCATCTAGAAATTGCTCTATTCTAGATGCCAGAGCTAATAGTCAACAAAAAAGAGAAGATTGCCCTTGCAGTCCTAACATCTTAAAAAGCTGCATTAACTGATGTTTATCAGCCTCTTACAGTGATCAGAAAGAAGTGCAACAACAGACTGTAATTTACATAAACACTGTAGTCTTGTTCCTGAGTAGAAATGAGGAAGCTAGCTATTTAAAGGAGAGATCCAACAGAAACATCTAGCAAAGAGTAAAAATATGCAAAACATGGTAACGACACTGCTTTTCCAGTGGCTCACTTGCAGTGCCAACCTCTATTGTTTAGCTGTTGAAAATGCCAGGGAGGGTGGGAGACTGCAGGGTGAAGGAAGGTTGGCCTGAGAGTGGGGTTTAGGAACTCAAAGCAGCAAGAATAGTTATTCCCAAACACAAAGAATGAGCAGCATGAAGCAAGCTTTGCAAGCTAGGAAGCTCAGCATCTCCAAAATCAATGAGTCACCAGTATTGATCAGCATGTGGTTATGTATGAATCATAGAAAATGTGTTTGGGTCATTTTCTTCTAAAAGGGTAGGCTGAAAAAATTACAAAAAATCAAGTGGACTAGATTTCTAGGTCAAAGATGTTTCACCTCTCATCCAAGAGGCTTCATCGGGTCTGCCTGACTGGTGTTGAGCCAGACATATTTATTTATGGACCAGTCTCTGCTGCAGGGTGTTCCCTGGTTTAAAGTTGACTGGGATATTGTGGTTGCGAAATATCCTTTTTAACTTCTCTGATAAACCAGCCACATAAGGGATGACAGTGTTATCCCCTCTTGTTTCTGGTTTCTCCCTGTTGGGCCTCTTCCTTGCTTTGGTGAAGGCCCACTTGGTGTATCCACAAGCCCTAAGGGAGTTCTGGATGTGTAAGTTCTCCTTCTTGGCCCCTTATGCAGTTGTGGTCACGTCCTCTGCCCTGTGATTTAGAGTTCTGATGACTCCCAGTTTGTGTTGAAGTGGATGGTGTGAGTCAAAAAGCAGGTATTGGTCCGTGTGTGTAGGTTTCCGATATACTTCTACTTTCAGGCTTCTGTCCCCTCCCAAGTGCACTGCACAATCCAAAAAGGCCAGACAGTCATCTCTGGCATCCTCTCCTCAATTTCTTCCATGTACAGGTTAGCAACTATAGGAGACACAGGGGAGCCCATAGCACAGCCGTGTTGCTGCCTATAGAAGTGCCCCCTAAATTGAAAGTAGGTAGTGTTTAAACAAAGTTCCAGCAGAGTGCATACATGGTCTGGGGTGAGGTTAGTCCTGCTGTTTAGCGTGTCATCCTTCAGGAGTCTCTTCTTCACCGCATTGACAACCTGTGTGGTGGGGATGCAAGTGAACAAGGATGTAACATCATATGAGACCATGGTCTTGTCCTGGTCCAGCTGCAGTTGTTGGACTTTCCTTGCAAAGTCCTGGGAGTTAATTATGTGGTTTTCTGTGTTTCCCACCAAATGACCCAGAATGGTGGCCACGTGCTTGGCTATGTTGTAAGTCACAGAGTTGATGCTGCTTACAATGGGTCTGAGTGGGGCTCCTTCCTTGTGTATTTTGGGTAGGTCATAAAGGCAAGGGATGGCCTCCCTGGGGTATAGTCTGTAGTATAGTCGCCAGTCAATAACTCCCTCCTTTTTCAGCTTCTGTAAACAGTCTATAACCTTCTTCATGTAGCCACTGGTGGGGTCCCTCTTCAGTGCTTCATAGGTGGTGGTGTCACTGAGGAGGTCAGAAACTCTGGTCTAATAGTCAGCTGAGTTTAGGACTACCATACTGCCTTTGTCTGCTGGAAGGATTGTGATGGTTTCATCCTTCTCTAGTGCAGCTAAAGCCCTCCTTTCCTCAGGGGAAAGGTTCAGAGGTGGGAGTTTGGCACTGGCCAAAGCAGCTGTGACCTTCATCTGCAGTTCTTCCACCTCTGTCTCAGCCAGCTTGTTGTTCCTAATGGCTGACTCTGTGGCTATGATGAAGTCTACCACAGGGATTTGTTTGGGTGTGACCGCAAAATTCAATCCCTTGGCTAATACCTCTTTTTCTGTGTCCGTGAGTTCTCTGAGAGATTTTTGACCCATTTGTCGTTGTGCAATGGTTGTAAGTTGTGCTCCTCCTTTCTCCTCCAAGGACATCTGAGGCTGGCTGTTCATTGGCGTGCCTTGCTCTTGTTGTGTTGGGTAAGTTGTGCCTTTTCCAAGAATCTTGAGATCTCCTGAAAGATTTCTCTGGTAACCTTAGTGGAGAGTCTCTTTCCTAGTTGTTCTGTGTCACCGAGAGGGATAAATGTCTCCGGCTCAACACCAGTCAGGCAGAACTGATGAAGCCTCCTGGATGAGAGGTGAAACATCTTCAACCTAGAAACCTAGTCCAGTTGATTTTTTCTAAGTTTTTTCATCTTACTATGACCTGGATGACTGAGAATATGCACAGACACTTCTAAAAGGGTAGTTGAAATCTCACGTACTGCCTCTTTACCCTTAAGGTCAAGCTGAAATTCAAATTCACTTTTTGTGTGACAAAATTTAGGCTATAATGATCCAACTGTGCATATTTTAGCTGAGAAGTGGTTTCTAAACTATACAACATGATGCAGGATTTAGTGGAATCAACTAAGCTTTTCTCATTAACATAATGTAAATATGTCAATTTTGTTCATTTTACATTAAGCCATCTTAGAAGGTCTAGTTGTAATTTTCTGACCATTTCCCAAATTGATGAGCAGACATCCCAGCATGCATTGTTTGAGAGTTAAAACTCTCCACAGACTGTTTTTTGGTGAACCCATTCATGGTGGAAACTTGCTGTGTCTGTAATACATATTAAATTAAGAAAGAACAAAACTAATTATAATAAATTATATTGAATTTGGTCCCTACCCATGTACAAACTAACAACGCCACAAAATGGTTTCAGTAGCTACAACTGCAAATTCCTCATCCCAGCTGAAGAAATGACTTACCCATATAAACTGAGAAATGTAAACAGAAAAAAACTGTCTGTACTGAATGAGTAAACAGTTGAGTCAACCTAAAAACTTTAGTTAATGGAAGTATTCTCAAGATCAGTTGACTTAAATGAGTTAGTTTTACATTTTCAAAACTATTTTACAGTATATATTGAGTTAACTTGTGCTTTCAAGGCAGCAAAGGGAACATATGCTTCTAAGTTGAACCAGCTTGAAATGTGTGTAGGATTTGTCACAATTGTACATCTTCTACACACACTGACAACATATTTTCATACTTCTGAACAAAACATGCTAATTAGTGCCTTAATACATATTACATTATTCCACTCAGAAAGCGAAAGCTAGCTAACGATTTATCCTACCCTGCCAATGTTAGTCCCGATTTCCACAAGACCTTACTTTTCATTCTTGTTATTTGAGCACCTGCTGACTCATCCTGCATCACAGAAAGGAGGGGGACTGAGGCTAGCGTCACTTGTCTCTCTTTCATGGGTCCAGTTATGGCATATGACCAGACTGCAAAAAAACCCCTTGCTGTAGCATGTAGTCCTGTATCCTCAGCACAGAATACAAACAAACACCATGGACATACAGTATGTAATGATTTTTCTATTCAGTTCAACTTTAATTTTACTTCATTGCACACTCATACTGACTCTGTGTAGCTCATGCAGGAACAAAAGCAGGAGTGTATTGCTCTTTGTAAATCTACTTATAAACCCCGAGCTGAGAAACAGACCCACTCCCGAAGAGAAGACAGACTCGGATTCAGTGACTGTTTCATGTGCTGCAGGAGTAGCAAAAACAACAAGATTTATGGCTTCAGAACTGAATAAAAAACACACTCCCACCAATGAAACAATAAGGGGAGTGGAGTTCTGGATCCCACAGTGATATTATGTAAGAGGACTGAACAGAAATAGGACACCGACAGTGTTGCTGTAACAAAGGTTTTCAGTGGGATTCGATAAAAAATATATTTTTGTTACATGTTCATTATTCCTATGATAGTCTAGTTAGTATTATGAGGTTCATTATTGTAATTAATCTTAATACAATTACAAACACAATAAATCAGAACATAGAGATGTGCCTATCCAGCTAAAATACAGGCATACAGGCCCTCATGCATTACAGCCTCAATCTTTAAGGTGTTGGCAGCAGCATGCCGCAAATGCAGGGAGAATTCATCGCAACACTAACACAAGCCTGCACCAAATTCAATCAGCTTTTATGACTTCAACCTACAGTCGAGTCATCATTCACTCAGCTTGGATGTAAAATATAGAGTACAAAGCCTCAGTAGCACTATTCACACCACACTATGCCAAAACATAATGTCCTTATTTTAGCATTCTGCTCCTCCAGTGTAACACCAGACAGCTACAGCTTAAACAGCTACAGGTTAACTCTTGCATTCCAGGACAGATTAAAAAAAAAAAAATAGGAGGTTAAAATATTATGCTCATGTCAGCTTCTCAAAGGGTTTTGGTTCAGGAGTACTGTTTCATGTTCCAGGCAGATAAAGCTTCACCGTACCTGTGGTGTAGGTCAGTTTCTCCGGTCGGTACAATCTGGCTTAGCTGTTGTTGGTCTCTGTGTCTGAGAATGTGTCCGTCGGACTACTAGGGGCTGGATGAATGTGTCACTGAGTGTGTGCGTCTGTGGGTGCACTACGCAAAATAAGAGAGAGAGAGAAACAGAGACAGAGACGCAGTCTTCCTTGCTCTCTTTGTCTCCATCTCCCTCCCCTTCCTGATGATAAACAGAGAGCACATGGCTTCACCAGTGATGCAGCACTCCAAAGATCACTGCACTGAGAAGTGGGGTGGGGGGACAAAGGGACGACAAGAAAGAAAGAACTGTAAAGAGTAGGACAGAACAATGGAAATAAGCGTAAAGCAAACAGGATTGGGGTTGAGTCTGGTGGAGAGAGAGAGATAAATGTGTGTCTGAGCTGTGGGTGTGTGCATGTGCGTTCATTTTGTTTTTGAAAGCAGGGCACTGCAGCTCTGAGCTGGCACATACAAGCTATGAAATTACTCATGCTTTTTATAACACAGTGGCAAAATGGGACTAAATTCATCCAAATCTGAAAGAAAATATCCTTGTCTGGACATCCAATACTTACACAAAATCACACCATATCAGCTCGCAGACATCCTCACACACCCACGCAGCCAGACCAACACAACAGCCCTCAGGCAACCAAAAGAGCTTTACTCTGGTTTAAGATACTGTCAAGGGCACTGATCATGTCTGGGCTTACTGGAGCATGAAGTGACAGGATCATTAAAGCCAGAATAATCCATGTGTCCCTGGTAGATCACTGACTTCAGCAATCCATTTTAAATTGCAGCATAAACTACATATAATACAATACATTATGACATGTGTACGTGAACATATATTTTAAGCCTTGGAACTTTGTTGTTTGTGCAATGCTATAAACATGCCCAGTTTAAATTTCTCTAGAAGAATGAACCTTGTTTTTCAGATAACTTCCCTGCACCAGTAGCTGTCTGGAGCGGGTGTGGACAGCCCTGTCTGGTTTATGCCCCCGTGTGCCATGTTTCTGAAATAATACAGGAGAGCAGTGTTGGGGCTAATATGTGAGGAGGCTATAACCATCTGTTCTAACGTAGTTCCAGACCTCTGAATTGCAACAGCTGAATCATATGTCTGATACTGCTCTGTAGACAGCCAGGAGAACCCAGTTGGAGAAACAACCAAGCCAGTCAGAGCATTTGTGGACGGAGGACCAACAATAAAAAGGATGAAAGTTGAACATTTTTATACAGTGTATATATTTATCTACTGATCAATGAAGCTAATCTAGCAGTCATACAAATAATGTCTATAATGACAGTAACTGCAGTTGATAAAAACTAGGTGTAACAACCGTTACTGCGTTAAGCAGTGGGACACAGTGTTGCAACATGTCATCTAGTGCTGTGGCAGTGGCACATTTTGTTTATGATTTGGCTGCTCCTAATTATTTTTACCATTAGATGCCAGTGACATATGGGGGACCAAAAGGGACACAGAAAAATGAATGAATAAATAAATGATTATGATGATGATTAATATTAAAAATAATAAGATGATCAAATAAGTATAAATATGCAATTTTTCACATTTATTTATTTCTGTATTTCTTCCATTTTGATACTAAGGTATGATGTCATGCTCTGCATCATGGCCCTTTGTTTGTTCTCATTAGCTTATCCATGTTAGAGTTTTGAAATCGATTATTACTGACAATTTTGGTCCACACTAATCGGTTGCACTGATTTACAATAATGGTGGATAAACAGAAGGTACTGTAGTTGAGGGGCCTATTTTATTTTATATTTCTTCTGTGCTTTTTTGGGCTGTAGTCCTTTATACCACTTTCACATTCATATAGTTTCAGTGGCATTCTATGAAGAGTTACACTAAAACTTGTAGGATGAAGCAGACAAAGCCGAACCAGCCCCCAGGATTTTCAGAGTGAATACACAGTATCTTATGGTCTGAGTCACCACAGTTATTTAGGTGAGTTAAACTTTTAATATTAGCTATGTGTATGTTTGTGTTCTTGTTGTGTGCATGACTTTACAAGGTTTGTCTGACAAGCCCAACAGTAACATTATTTAAATAGCTTTTCTCTGCCCGATAACAAAATTATTAGCACAGAGCCAATGCTAGCTACAAGCACAAGTGCAGCAGCTGTCACTGTATTAGCCTGTAGCAATAATAAACCATATATCACTCAAGTTCAACTGTTATATCTGTTTCTTTTTGGCATATAAAGTCGCTGATTATTATAACATATGCCGCTCCTGGTTTTGATATGGTACTGGTACATAATGCTGCCATCTGGCACATTTTAGTACCACAAATAGACAGAAGTGTAAAGTCACTAAGTACAGCATATTTACTCAAATACTGTACTCAAATACATTTTTGACATATCTGTACTTTACATATACAAGTATTTTTGGTTTCTGCTACTTCATACTTCAACTTCACTACATTTTAGAGGCAAATATTGTACTTTTTACTCCACTACATTTATTTAATAACAGTTAGTTATGACTTACTTCTCAGAATCAGATTAACAGAACAAAATACAGTGGAATTATAAGACTATTGATACCTGGTGGGAAATTCATAAACCACCCATCAGTACTTCAAATTATAAACATATAAGATAGTTAAAATAAGGTCCACCTTTACCAGCTGCAACATTAAATATAATGTACACAGCAATGAAACAATAATTATGTGTGAAATGTGTTAATCTATATAATGAGTAATAAAATTTTGGGGTTTAAGGTACATTTTGATGCTAATACTTTTGTACTTTTATTTAAGTACATTTTGAATATTATTATCTGAGTACTTCTTCCACCATGACATATAGAAATTTTGTAGCATATCACTCTTCCACTGTCACACACAGTAGCACTCCCCAACCTCTTATGTTGATTTTTTACTAGGGTGCACAGCTGCTCAGTATTAGTACATTGCTGTCTTGTGCTACATGAAAATTATATATATACATACAGTATATACAGTGGGTACGAAAAGTATTCAGACCCCCTTAAATTTTTCACTCTTTGTTATATTGCAGCCATATGCTAAAATCATTTAAGTTCATTTATTTTTCCTCATTAATGTACACACAGCACCCCATATTGACAGAAAAACACAGAATTTTTGACATTTTTGCAGATTTATTAAAAAAGAAAAACTGAAATATCACATGGTCATAAGTATTCAGACCCTTTGCTGTGACACTCATATATTTAACTTAGGCTCTGTCCATTTCATCTGATCATCCCTGAGATGGTTCTACACCTTCATTTGAGTCCAACTGTGTTTGATTATACTGATTGGACGTGATTAGGAAAGCCACACACCTGTCTACATAAGACCCTACAGCTCACAGTGCATGTCAGAGCAAATGAGAATCATGAGGTCAAAGGAACTGCCTGAAGAGCTCAGAGACAGAATTGTGGCAAGGCACAGATCTGGCAAAGGTTACAAAAAAATTTCTGCTGCACTTAAGATTCCCAAGAGCACAGTGGCCTCCATAATCCGTAAATGGAAGACGTTTG